CTCCTCCTCCTCCTCCTCCTCCTCCTCCTCCCTCCTTCTTTTGCATCTCTGGGACAACCTAAACATATTTTATTAAAAGAAGTGGGCATCGTGATGCCCACGTTGCTGGGCAAAGACAGCTGTGCCAGGTGGAATGTCTGTGGGGCCCAACTTTACCCATACGATTACCCAAGGCGTTTTCTGGTTTTGAAACTTACCTCTTCTAAGTTCCTCATCTGTCTCTTTGCTTCTCTGGTGCTATCTTCCATTCTGGCAGGAAACACTGTCATCTTTCCACCTCTGGAAGAAGCGACGTTAGAGTATTCTTCTTAGCTAAGCCGTTCGACTTGGCTGTCATTCCAGATTGTGGCGTTGTATCACAACGCCTGACAACTTGCTTTAGCAGTGTGTTGGCTGTGTCCCGAAGTAGGCTCCCGTTGCATTTCTGAAGTCATCCCTGAAAAAATGGAAACTTCATTTTCACCCGCAGTGTTTTCTCTTTTTTGCATAAGTCAGTAGAGTAGATCAGGAGTTGGGTTGGCTGGGGAAAAGAGAGATCTGGGGACTCTTTGAACCCTGCACACTGCTAGGAACGAATGCCATTCCTCAGTTAAACCTCACCCACCCCATCAGGGCTGCAAAAATGTGTAGGACACCTTATTAAAACTCAACTGGTACAATAATATGATTGGAAGGAATAAAAACCCACAGTCCAATCTCTCCCATTAAATCTGGACCATTATGTTCACCCAAAATAGGTAGATAAGAGCTTGATTCAGCCAGGCAGCATATACATTTAATATTATTGTTGATTTGTTGATTTGTTAGAGGGGAAATGGAGAGGGGAATAAAGATTAGCACTCTCTTCCACTGGATTGTTTCCTTATGGCATTCCTCCAACCCCGCCCAGCTAGCTTTTGAAGAAGTTTAAAGGTTGTTCGTGAGATGCATTGAATAAAAATTTCTACCAGGAATTTCCCCCAAGGTATACAATTCCAAGCGATGGAGATAAAACCTGCTGAACCATTTAAAAGCTGCTTTATGTTTGTAATACGCCTGAATTCATGAACCTCAGGAAGGATTTTTTACTTTATTTATTTTTACTTATTTCCCTTGCTGAGATTTTCCTCCTGGTAAGTTTTTAAAAAAACAACCAAATCCTGCTGACCTTGTGTCTGGAAATTCTTCCCTTTGTTGCCTTTAGGTGCATAACTTTCTTAGCTTGAGAAAAGCAGAATTTTCTTCTGGAATTACATTTCATCTGTTTAGATTTGAGAGGAAAGTCTTTTAAAGGTTTTCCATCACATACAAACTCTTGGAAGGGGGGTGTAGCAAGGCCTCTCACTGGCTTGAAAGACTGGAAAGAAATGAATTCATTTTGTTGGACTTCTAGAAAAAACTAGAGTCAAGCCAGATCGCCGGAACGCAGTTATGTTTTGGATTGCTACTGGGGAGATCCATATTCAAATCTCTATTTGATTTTACAATTGCTGGGAAATTTTGGTCCAGCCACTCTCTCCCAATTCAACTTACCTTACCGGGAGGGAATAAAATGAAGGCAGATCCCATGTATGTTGCCTTGAGTTTCTAGAGGAAGACCACGATACAAACGCAGTAGACAATAAATAAACAATATATCAGTCAATCATACATCCCACCACATGTTTGTCGTTTCTGCTAATCCATGAAAAGCTCATTTGCATGCCCAGTAAATATGTCCCAAACTTACATAAGTGTAAAATGCATGTGTAAATGATAGGAGTACAGGGTGGGCGTGCGTGGGTGTAATTTTGAGCTTGGTGTTCTGTTTGTCCTGGTTTGGGGTGGTATTTGGAAATGGATTAGGTTCAGTCATGCACCAAATCATGTTTATTTGCTCATTTCTTGTGTGTCCTGCTTAGGAAAGAAGAATGGAGATGTGGACCGGAACTTTGATACACTGGACTTACCTAAGCGATCTGAGTCAGCAAAAGGTAATTCAAAGATCAGCAAAGACTCAAGGGTGGGTTCCTAAGGCGTTTTGTAGAAGAGGAGTGAAAAATGCAGCATTTCTCCTTAGATTTCATGCTTCTCTAATTTCACTCTGGAATTAGCGTTCAGAGGAAGCTTCTGTCCCATGTATGGTATTGTGCTGATGAGAAATGACATTTTCTTTTGCAAACCAAGTATGTCTGCATCCAATCTCCTATCAAAGGTTCATAGGATGATAAAGAACTTTTCTAGCTACAACTTTTCTCCCTTGATTTGTTGCAACATTCTTGAAGATTTGATCTTTTCGTTTCTTAGCAAGGACTGAACATTCTTGAGCATCTCAAAAAAGGATGAGCACGATAAATGGCGTGAGCATGCATTTTTTCCAGACTGTTCCTAATTGGCGGCCCATGCACACTGATGACTTGCCATGACTGAGGTCTGAAGGAAGCCCTAGTAATGTGGAGAAACCCGTGTTCTTGTCTTTGCTTTTTTTTCCTCCTTCTTTAAAAAGCTGGCATTTCTTCCTTGCCCAAGAACGTCCCTTAAAAAGGCAAGGAAGCCAAATGCCAATGTCCTTGTCATTCAAAAGCAATAAAAAGGAACCTATCTCTTCCAGAGCCAATTGGTGAACAAAGGGCTTGCTATGAGGGCATGAATGAGAATGTAAGTAGAGGTCCTATGGGGCTGAGAGTAATCGTTCAGTTGCCTGGATGAAATGGCATGGGTGGAAGGGGTCACCTTCCTTGAGCTGAGTTGGCCATCATAGAGGAGGAAGCTCCAGAGCAAGTGAGCATCAAGGAATGGACCCAGGAGTGCAGGATTGCAGCAGTAAACCATCTCCCACTATAGCTGCAGTTCTGTAGTAAGCACAGTGGTGGTTGTGTGGCTGGCAATATCTCAGCAGACGGGAATTCTCTCTGAACCTTGGGGAGCCCAACATTGTGTACCAAGATGTGAGGGTTTGTCCTCACGTAACACAATAACCAATCAGATGGTTGCAAAAGGAAAATTTAGGTGGAAAGAAGACAGCCCACCCAAAAGAGAGGGCTAAATAGTCAGACTGAGTGGGAAGGAGAAGGTACGATAGGTGTTTTGAACGCTGTTGAGACAGGACTTGATTTTTATCAGAGCAGTTGCCAAAATGCTTTATTTCTTACTTTTCTTTGATTAAGATTGCTTCGATGAAGTCTTTGGATGTCTTGAGAGCTCACCTAAGTGAGTCATTCCTGCCCACAGGGAGAACTTAGACATAAAATACCAGTTGAATTTATATGCATCATGTCTAGATTTTGGGAAAGGTTGAAGCCATGAAGATTTTCCTTTTTTTAAGACAGACTTGAAAAGAAGCAAGTTAATATATCTGGGAGAGTTGTTGGTTGGCCACAGGATATATTTTGGAATGTATGGGAATGTGTCTTCTATTTCTAACTGATTTTTTCCCCTTTTGAAAGTCTGTGTGGTTCCCTTAGTTTATAATGGGATTGGGGATTCTTCCATCAAGTAAGCAAGAATAAAATGGCAGTTTCTGATCTATTAATGGAAAGGTCAGATCTGTAGCATGGCATTTTAATTCTTTTTGGATGAAATTAATTCCCAGCTAAGGCCGAGCCTCATTGTGAAGACCAAAAATGTTCCCAATGATCAAATAGATTTGATTCGAGTGATATCATGACATGCTGTGTGTCTGTGTGTGTTTAAAGCCAAGCGTTGTATATTAATCTTTTTCATATTAACATGTACCTTAGGCAGGATATTTTTCAATAAATGGAAATAATCACTAAGGATCTTTTGTGGAAAGGTCAAAATGTATGATGAAGAATTGTACGTTTGAGTCTGCTGGCCAGTTAAGATCTGTAAAAGTACTGTGCTTGTATCCTTCAAAGAAGGTGAAGCTCTTGAATATAAGAGGGTTTTCTCTGTAATGATATCCAGTCTGAGGAACTCTAACCTCATGAAATAAATCTGCTTCTCCTTCCTCCATTTAGTAACTATGAGGCTGTGTTCCCAGTATTGTCTTTGTTGATTTTAATCCATTAGTTGCCAACTTTACTTGATTTGCTGCCTTTTTCTTGGGTTTTCTTTAACTGTTTTCTTTGTTTCGAATTAAAGAATACTACAGGAGAGTTGCAAAGATGAAATAGAATGGGAGGTACCGCCTTGAAACAAACACACACATTCAATAAAGTTATTCTGCTTCCTTGAATAAATGAAGGAATTGGTTCCTGGCCATGTGTTACCAGTGCTCTCATTCATTTTGATTGCCTCTTTGTGAACAGAAGTCCTCTTGGTGTGTAAGTGCAGAACGCCCCAAAAGAAGTCTAGCTCAGAATACATCTTATGTGTAATTATAATGTAATTGTAAAGTAATTATAATGAAATAAGGATTTTTCTGCCATAGAATCTGATGGGGAGTATTTGTGACCTGGTTGGGTGTGTATTGTGAACATACTTGCCACTGGTTACAGGAGCATCATGAGAGAATATAAATTCTGCTGGCATTTAGCCTACATGGCCTATTTTGAGGCCCTCCACAGGTAGTTTGGGCTACAATTCCCACAGTCCCTTGCCACTGGCCATGCTGGTTGAGCCAAAAAATGTTGAGTATCAAACCCCACACAGCCGGAAACAAGAACTACAAAGATTTTAGGAAGGCATATTTAATGCTAGGCTTGTAGCAAATAAAGAATCTTAGAAACTATAAGAGGAATTTCCCAGTCTCATTTGTAGTGAGTAAATTAAGAAGGAGTCACTTCGCATGATTTGAAATGCTTCCTTCCAGATTTCTTGGCACTTGAGTTAAGTCACTTTTTAGGACAGAGTTTTTTGAACTTGGCAACTTTAAGATGTGTGGACTTCAACATGTTGGCTGAGGAGTTCTGGGAGTTGAGGTCCACACATCTTAAAGTTGAGAAGTTTGAAAAACACTGGTTTAGGAGATAAGCTGTCAGCAGACTCACCTTCTGCTTCTTGATGTCTACTCTCCATTCCTTTCCTTGATTCTCACACTGAGGAACAAAATTGTTTATTGTCAATACTAATGGTAGCAGCATTTCCCTCCACCCTTTGAGTAGACCAGGTCAGAAAACAGACACCGCAAGGAATCCAAGGATGCTACTTTGTTATTGTAGGGTATAACAACTGAATCTTGAAAAGAGTTTCCTTCTGCCTCATCTACAAACCAGAATCAAAGCACAGCTAATTTGAATTTCTTTCTTAAGCTATCCTCTTTCCCAGGACTAAGTTGTCCTTTCTCCTCCTTTAGCCACTCTTGCATTCCTTCATCAAAGTTATCTCTACATTCCTTTACAGCTTCAGACTGGCATGTCCCCAGCATTTCACGCTCCCTTGTCCCTGGTCTTCCATCTCCTGCTGTCTCCTTGTCTGAGATGACTGATCTCACAGACTCTTGCCATTTGGCACACTAACTGGATCTATCTGGAGGGATCAAGTTTTCAGTTGAAAGCAGATTCCATCTCAAAGTTCCACCAAGGCTAGGGATTGGAAGCATCTACAGACCAAGCAAAGACTTGTCACCAAATTGCTGCTCATTTCTAGCACAGTGGGAGAGCTGCCCCGATTACAAGGCTGTTCAAGACACTTTGGGTGTTGATGAAATGCAAGCAGAAAGATAAGTTAATCCATTTTGCAGGAAAGCTTTGTTCCTGAAGCTAAGACCTGTCAGGATCCCTTTCACAGAATGTGCATATAAAAGGAATGATTGAGTCAAATAGATCTAATATTGATGATAACCTTGGGGAACTGGAAACACTACAGGTACTTTTATATTTTTTTCTCCTTCATTCTGAAAAGTCAAATTGTTCTCCACAGGACTTTAATCACAGTGGCCTATTGAATAATATTAATCTGTTTAAACAAGTATGGATTTAAAGGACATTTTGTTCCTGGTATTGAAGTTGAAGCAAGCCCCCAAAAATGAATTTTGGAAATTGGGTAGGGTGGAGGTGAAGAACATGAAGGCGAAGAAGAAGAAACTTCATTTCTGCATATGCTTTCTTGGCAATTTCATAAGATGTTGTATCCCATTCACAAAAAGATGGTAATGAAAGAGAATAAACATAATTGCTCTGTTCTCAGTTCCAGCATCTTAATATGAACATTGCCACTTTTTAAATCACCCCTTTGTTTCACATTAAAAATTACAGTTCAGTGGTTCCTACGGAGAGTTTCTGTGGGAAGGACCCAAAGCATTGGAGGGACACGTGTGGACACAATTCATGGACACTGCCCTAAAGAGAAGAAAAGGTCCAGGATTCAGCCGCAAAGCACATCTCTCACCTGTAACTGTCCAAGGTCCTGAAATTCTAAGTTGCCCATCCCTGTTGAGCCCCAAGGGTCTTAGTACTCAAAGTCAAGAAGGATTTGAATCTGACATAACTGGGTCACAACATTTATTTGGGTTTTGCTTAGGTCCCCCTGCTAAATTGCTTAGATTCATTTTGCTCACTCCTACCAGAAAGGAGTGCTTCTGGTGTTTCTTTTCAATATAGAGCAGTGTTCCTTCCTTCCAGGTGCTAGTCTCTCCTTCTTCCCAAGTGTTCAGTTTCTTTCTTTCAAGCAAGTGCCAATCCCTCCCTCCCTCCCTTCTGCCAGTCTTAAGATCCTGTTTGTTCATTCTTAATCTTCCTTCCTTCCTTCCTTCCTTCCTTCCTTCCTTCCTTCCTTCCTTCCTTCCTTCCTTCCTTCCTTCCTTCCT